TATTTTATTATTACTGTGAGAAATGAATTAGAAGTTGCTCATTTTTAGAATTTCACTGTAACTATCTTGTGAGAAATTAGCATTGGTTTCTAATCAAAGGCTGATTTACGATGAACGTCTGCTGGCGTGTAGGTGAGAGTTTTAACATAGACCAATCAAATAGACAGAGAAACATCTTTGATGCCTTATACATTTGCATTTCCTTTCTCAGCTCAGGAAGAGTTTTTTGAGTGTACGCTAATACTCTGCCATTTGTTTTCCTTCGTCTACCATTTGTTGGCTGTTGTTTTTTGTACTTGTTCTGTATTTAAGGAGAGGAAACGCTGAGTTAGTGAGAGTAACCGTGCGTTCTCTCCGTGGCCACGTTACATAAAGAATGATTCATCGCATCTGTTTGACTCTGTATTCTTTGGGAAGGAATTATTTTCCCTGACATTACACTTTTATGATTAATCCTGAGACAAATGAAGACGGTTCATTAATAAAAATAAATAAAATTAATGAACTGTCTTCATTCACAACGGTGAATGTCCTGTGTTGTCTGTGGCCAGTTCCACGTGTCGACTGTTATTCAGCTGCTTCTTCTGATCACAACGCTTCCCGCTTTAATAAAGTTCTCCTGAATTGAGATGGTGACATGAAACGTTAGGAGAGAAGCTCTGCGGCTGCCTAACAGGATAAATGTGCGTCTTACGTTCCGTTGGCGATGCGAGCGTTGAGCATCTTCTCCTCGGCCAGCAGCTCCTCCCTCAGCGTGTCGCTCTCCAGGACGCTCTGCAGCGCCGGCGTCTCGTCCCCCGCCACTTCCTGTTCCACGTGAAGGATGGAGATGTGGGCCGGGACACGAAGACTACGACTGGCTAACATCTTCAACAGCGTCGTCTTGCCCAAACCGTTCCGACCAATCAGACCGTACCGCCTGCCCGACGCCAGAGAAAGCTCCGCCCCCTGCAGCAAACACCTGGAGACAGAGAGATCTTCAGCCAGGGACACAAACAACTTCTCTCTGTAATCAATGTTTATTCTGACTCAGTTACTGATCCGTGTGTCTGACCCAACACGTCTGCGGCGTGTAAATGTAAACACGTGATTTTCTCAGGTGGAAATTAAACTTTATTAACACTGGATGCACAGCAGCGAGCTGGAAAACAGCGTCCTGTGTCTCTGATTAATTATTGGCTTACTGATCCGTAAACTCACCTCTCTCCAAATGAAACGTCAAAGTTCTCGATGCGGATGTCATAGCTGCGGTTCTTCCCTGATTGGTCGACTCGGTTGTCCTTCTTACTGCTGGCCTGACTGGCCGACGCCTCCTCCAGGACTCTGTGAGAGACAACGGAGGACAGGTGAGAGGAGGACAGGTGAGGAAGAGGACAGGTGAGAGACAACAGAGGACAGGTGAGAGAGAACAGAGGACAGGTGAGAGAGAACAGAGGACAGGTGAGAGAGAACAGAGGACAGGTGAGAGGAGGACAGGTGAGAGACAACAGAGGACAGGTGAGAGAGAACAGAGGACAGGTGAGAGAGAACAGAGGACAGGTGAGAGGAGGACAGGTGAGGAAGAGGACAGGTGAGAGGAGGACAGAGGACAGGTGAGAGGAGGACAGAGGACAGGTGAGAGGAGGACAGGTGAGCACTGACAGTGGACTGGAGGTCTTCTGAGAGTCCTTCTCGTTCCTGCGGTCGTGTTTGGCTTTCAGCTTCGCCTCGGCCTTCTCCAGTTTCTTTGCATCCACCGTCTGATGAGTCACAGAGAGACAGGAAGTGATGCGTTTAATGAGACAGTCACATGTTCAAATCCAACAACTAATATGTAACTTGTTTAATGTCTGAAAACTAATTATTATTATTATTATTTCTGAGCTTGTTTTTAGTTTTTATCATTTATACAGTGAATAAAATAAATATTACGACTCACTGTGTTCTGAGAACGTTTCATCATCCAGATCCCCTGAACATCGTCAGACGCCGTCACTGGAGAGGAGAGATAAAATGTGACCTCAGGTCTGCAATATCAAACATTATTAACTTAAACTTTAACTATTATTACAAGTTTAAATGCAGTATGGTGTGTTTACACAGAGATATAATGTTACCGTTGTCTGCAGAAATCTGAGAGAGCTGCACCGGAGCATCCAACAACACCTGCCTCTGAGAGCCATGATGGTTATTCCTGATGGGAGACAGACAACATTAAAATACATAGTATTCCTGAAAAAAACATGTTATTCCTGAATAGAAATGTGTTATTCCTGATTAAAACATGTTATTCCTGATTAAAACACGCTATTTGCCATTAAAATACATAGCATTCCTGAGAAAACATGTTATTCCTGAATAAAACATGTTATTCCTGATTAAAATACATAGTATTCCTGAATATAACACATGTAATTCCTGATTAAAACATGTTATTCCCTATTAAAATACATAGTATTCCTGAGAAGACATGTTATTCCTGATTAAAATCGTGTTATTCCTGATTAAAATACATAGTATTCCTGAATATAACACGTTATTCCCTATTAAAATACATAGTATTCCTGATTAAAATCGTGTTATTCCTGATTAAAATCGTGTTATTCCTGATTAAAACACGCTATTCCCTATTAAAATACATAGTATTCCTGAAAAAACATGTTATTCCTGATTAAAATCGTGTTATCCCTGATTAAAAAACATGTTATTCTCGAATAAAACACGTTATTGCTGTTGGAGACGCGTTATGTTGGAGCCATTCTCAGAGTTCTTTAAGAATAAGATACTTTATTGTCACGTACATGTAGCGAAATTCATTCTCTGCATTTAACCCATCCCTCGGTGGGCAGCGCCCGGGGACCGACTCCAGATCTTGCACTTGACTGAAGAACTAATGGTGGGGGAAGCCGGAGCAAAACCCACGCAGACACGGGGGAGAACATGCAAACACAGACAGGCCGGGACGACCGGGGTTTGAACACATGACTTTCTTGCTGTGAGGCCACAGCGCTATCCACTCGACCACTGTGACGTCCATAATGAATTTAATTTAAATAAGAAAGGGATGTTTTGAGTTACTTTCTGATATTGTGAGTTCTGATGCGTCTCCAGGCCGCTGATAGGTTTGTCCTTAGATAGGGAGGATCTGTGGATGAGCTGGATGGCAACAGTTTTCTGACCGCATTAGTGATATTAATCACGTGTTGGTCAGTTTTAATCTTTATATTTTTTGGTGCTGGAAAGTCAACCCAAGTATAGATAAATAAATAATTTTTCAGTTAAAATGAACGGACTGTCTTGCTGGGTGCTTCTTTAAAGTGTGTGTCGGCGACTCCCCACTTGGCTCCAGTCAGCCACTTCACCTTACTCCTGATATTTATACATATTGCCAAAAGTTCTGGGTCACCTGCCTAGAGTCTCATCCTTAATCCCTTAATTATTGCACAGGTGGCAGCCAATCACAGTGCCCCGCTTAAATTCACTGAACTCCTGAGAGCGACATGTTCTTTCACAGATGTTTGTGGAAGCAGTCTGCAGCCGAGGTGATTGGTTTTATACGGAAGTGACAGAAACACCTGAATTCAATGAGTCGGAGGGGCGTCCCAATACTTCTGGCAATATAGTGAATCTCTTTGGACTGCTGTCTGCTTCCTGACACTGACAGAAGGAATAATAAACAGAACAGTCTGCAGACTGTTTGAAGCTAGCAGCTGCGAGCGTCTGATGGCAACAGATTTTTGAGGAGGCGCTGACGCTTGAAGGGTCGGCTGTGTTTCTAAACCCGAGCTTATAAAGCTTATAGAAGACGTGACGTCTTACAGTTTGAGAGTGTTGAACATCTGCAGGCAGATGTCTCGGACGTCGTCCTCGTTCTTGCTGTCAGCAGAGACTCCCTGCAGGACTCCTCCGATGGCTTCGTAAACCTCCTCCCCATCCTCGAAGTCTGCTCCGCCGCTCTCCAGAACCCCTGAAACACACACTTACAGTCAGCTGGTTGAACGTATGTTTGGTCTGAACATCAAATCCTAAATATGAGTCGAACCAGGATCCTGATGTGGACTGAAACAAACCCACTACCTGCTACAACACAACTTTACAAACTCCAATCTTTCAGGTGAACAAACGCAGAACAGCTCTACGAACGAAGCTCTCTGACAGACAAACCATCATCTACTACATTCACAGTAACACGAGTACACAATGGTACATGAAATGTATTACGTGCTCTGTATCGAGCAGCCGATCACACATATCGTCTCCGTATGTGTTGATTATGATAATATTTTTCCTCTTCACCTCAGAGCTGCTCGTTCCCGAGCTCACGTCGACTTCTCACGTTTCTTTAACTGATCTCTTCCAGCTGAGCAGACGCAGGCTGTGCAGATGTGCGTGAATAACGTCCTCCTGACTTTCAGCTGGCGGTCGACAGATACGGGTTCCTCAACTCTAACCCCATGCCGATATTTACAGAGCAGACACTGGCTGGATTATGGAGTTTAGGTAGATGGTGCAGACCCAGCAGTCACTCTGTATGCAGCATTAGGGACTTGGATTAGATTCTGGAGGCCCCGGGGAGCCAGTGGAGGTCATTATTGGAGGGACATGAGTCATTTTGGGCTGATCAGAAACTCCACCGCACACCTGCACTGCCCTCTGTGATGAACCTGTGAGCACAAAAACAGCTGGGCGGGGTCAGGTGTCCTCGCCACCACCCCTCTACCTGCATGATGTCACCTCTGGCTACCAGCAGGATTATCAAGACAGCAGAACGTCCCTGTCGCACCTGTAGCCACGCCCACCAGTGATGTCACAGCGTGACTCAGGCGAGAAGCCCGACCCGTCCTGGGTTTCTGAGGCCGGTCCTGATGTTTGGGAGTTTCAGAACCGATGTGTGGGCTTCAGAGCGTCCACACACTTAATAAGGTGGATTCTGATTAATCACATGATCTCAACCAGCTGACGTCCACTGGCAACCCCCCTCTAATGACCACGAGCTCACAGTCATTCTCCAGGTCATGTGAATTAACGACAACTTTATAGTGAGCAGAGCCCTGAAATCCAGCAGTCTTCACGGTACAACTTCCTGTGGTACTACTATAATACTCCATTAATACTACTATAATTCTCCAGTAATACTTCCTCTACCTCCACGGTTCCTGCGGGTCAGTGTTCGGGGCTCGGTCCACTCAAACCGGACTATATTTAGCCTTGTTTTAGCTCTGGCTAACCCGGGTTCACCCGGCCATGCCGAGCTAACCGGTGTTCCCCCCGTTAGCTCGTTAGCTCTGTTAGCTAAGAGAAGCGGCTCCCCGGCTAACAGACGGACTACAGGCCGGCCTGTGGCGCTCTGTTCCCGGCAGGCCGCGGCTCTGTCCCCGGCCCCCGGCGGCCCCGGGCCCGGCTCCTCACCTGTGATGTAGTCGAACACCTCCGAGTCGATCTCAGGAAACTCGCTTTTCAGGATGTCCACGTACGTCGCCATGATACCCGGCCCTGGACACTGCGGCGGCGCGCATGCGTGAATATGCGACAGCGCTGTGAACTCTGGGGGATGAAGTTTCAGGGCCTACAGAGGAGCCACATCGGGAAGAAAACGTTGATTCCTGCTACTACAACGAGCACGTGCCTGGGATTGTTGTCCTGTAATTATTATCCCTCCTAAAACTTTATTGATCCCCTCTGGAGGGAAAGTCTATTAAATATTTTATGAATTTGGAGGAAATTTCACCCTCTCAAGGAGAAATGTAACGTCACTATATTTCTTTCATTGTTTTTTTAATCATTTCATGGAGCCTCGTGTAGTTAAAATGATATAAAACTTTATAATCATTTTTATCAGAGGTTGCATTTTCTCTCTGTGAGAGGAAAAGCAAATAAATCAACTTTATTTGTCCGGAGAACATGGACACATCTTTATATACAGCTTATGGGCTAAATGCTAAATAACATTGATTCTGAGAATTTTTTATTTATTTAAAAAAACCAACCCTTTGTCATAAAATTCAGACTAATATAAACTTATATTAATTTCTGGGCCAAATGCATCCTGTGTTGTTTTCTATTTTATTGTTTGTTTGTGGCTTTATGCTGTTAAGGTAAATCCTTCAAAACTACACAGCCTTTGTTAAAATTAGATTTTTTGTTTTACTTTTTTACTTTATTATAGTTATGAAAACCAACAAATATTTTCAAACATTTTCAAAACTAATAGTGGAAAGTAAGTACATTTACTCCAGTCCTACTGTGCTTAATTTGGAGGCACTTGTATTTTACTTTAATTAATTAATTAATTAATTAATTAATTAATATTTCTATTTTGTACTTTATACTTCACTTCCACTAAATTTAACAAACAAATAAAATCTGTTTCATAAAAAATATGAAGCAGTGTTACAGATTATCCAATCAATACATAATTTATAAATAAAATAATATAGAATAATAAAATTATATAGATATCAGACTTCATCTCCAGCAGGTACAACTTTAAAATGCTTGATGATGAATAATCATTTCTGTAATCTATAATAATTTTGACAGGACAAAGGAGTGATTTATATTTAATATTACTAAAGATCTGCTTTATTCTAACAACACTGTTAGAAGATCATTTAAATTTATAAGGATTTAAATATTATTAAAATATTAGATTTTAGACAGAAAGCAAGATGGCATAAGATGTTTTCTACATTTGAATGACAAAATGTTCTTTTAAGAACTTAAATCAGTTTTCATTTCATGGCTGAAATGTTTTAATATTAATATTCCCATAAAGCACGTAGTGACTTTTCTTTTGGGCGGTGCTGCCTAAGTTTATTTCTTGGGGTTTGTTCTTTTCTTAACATATACTTTTCCTTTCCACCGGCACATTGTGTTATTATTTCAGTTAAACTATTATAATAATTAAATGACATGTAATAACAGAAATTAATATACATGTTTCTATGTTTTTATTCATTATGTTGACATGTGGTATCAGTGTTGTGTATTAATAATAAAATAATATTAATGTTAATAAAATAAAAATCTGTTGTCCAGTCCGCGTCTTCCGCAGCTCCGCTCTGCGCATGCTCCGCTTCTGAGTTTAGGGTGGGAGATTAGCCGTTAGCACTGTGAGCTAACCAGCCGGAGTGTGTAATGGCGGCCTCGGTGTTGTTGGGGTCTGCGGACAACACCGGACTCAATTTCGCGGCGGGAGGCGGCAGCAGCGGCGGTGGCACCGGGAGTGTTTTAGTCGGGAATAATAACGGACTGGGTCCGGCTGGTCCGGCGTCCTGGAACCGTTCTCTGGACCGGGCGCTGGACGAAGCCTCGGCCACCGGGTGCCTGAACATCAGCGGCAGGAAGCTGAAGGAGTTCCCCCGGAGCGCCGCAAACCACGACTTGACGGACACCACCAGGGCCGGTGAGTGAGCCCCAGAGCCCAGGAACCGGACTCGGTGGACCGGGCGGGTCTCTGACGAGTCGATTAAAGTAACTTTAAAGACAGTTTGTTTGGACTTTCCGGCGGGGAAAAGTAGAAATCCAACTTTAACGGCTCTGGAAAGGATGGGATGGGAAAACCGTCAGGGCCGGTGTTATGACAAACATTGCACCCCGCAGAAAACCTTCCGCTGTCGGTCTTTATATTGTTACGCAGAAACTTAAGAAGCAAAACGTCAGGACACCCGTTTGTATCATGAGGTCTCGTGTAGACTTTCTGAAAACTTATTAAAATCTTTATCATCTGAGTTACAAAAACATCCGCTCAGTAGCAGCGACCCAAAATAACGCCAGCTAACTTTAGCTAGTTAGCATGTTAGCAGTATGAAGCGCGTTAGACTTAAAACTCAGTCACCTTTTTTAAAACATGTTTTAAATATCTAACTGTTGTGAAGCAGCATACTAATTATGAGTCATCTCGTTTTCTGATGTGTACTTGAGGCGATGGAGAGGCGTGGAGACACAATATTTCGGGGTCACAGCTTGTGTCAGTACACCTGTGAGGCTCAGGCGGTTGTTGACGTCGTGTAGCCAGCTAGCATGCTAATAAGAGTGTTTGTAGTCTGTGGTGGGTACACATGACATGCTAGTGCTAGTACTTTCTTTAATTAAACTCACACAGAGTGTCTGACGTCAGCTGAAGTTTGTGAAAGGTGAACACACCTGAGCTCACTGTTTGTTTGTCTGTGATGGTGATTGGATAATGAGGCAGGACAGAAGGAGAGCTGCTCCGCCCACCCGAGGCTGACGGGCGGCGTGGCGAGACAAAACAAACGGGACGGTCTCAGCGTCGTGATGGTGTCTCAGGTCCGTGTGTGTGGTTCATGGTAACATCCTGTGTTTTTGTGTCACGTGATGAAATCGGGGCAACATGTGAAGGAGTCGGTTCCAAAAGGGAGCGACTTGGAGGGCGTGGGAGCTGCAGACTAACTCTGTGCTCATGTTTCCCAGCAGCTTTAGCGCCACATCAGTTTACTGTGACCTTCTGTCATTTCCCTTAAACACTGTGATAGTTCTGTAAATGACTGGAAACAGGAACACCTGCAGGGAAATGAGCTGATGCTGTTTAACAAACTGAGCATTCAAAAAACTAACTCCGAGTGTGTGCTGCTCTCAGATACTTAGATCCTGCAGGACCTGTGATTGGTCGGCAGGATAGCATCATTTCCTCCATCAGGAAGTGCTCCATGCTCTGAAACCAGTTTCACCAGCGGCTGTAACACGGTCAATACTTTCTTTACAACGTCACAGCCCCCGAGACACGTTTCACTATCTGAGGAAGTTAGCCTGCTCACCGGCAGAAGTCAACACAGTGAAACATAGAAACCCCCCCCCGACAGCTAGCGTTTTGGTGATGTAACTGCAGACCAACACAGACACCAACGCGCACGTATTAATGTGAGGGTTCGTGCGTTACCTACGCCGTAGGTAGCGGCGTCGAGTCACAGCAGGAGTATAAATCCAGCGCCCCTTCTCTGCGTCTGATTGGCTCTCACCTTAAACACACTGTAGAGATGCAGCCAACAAAAAAACGTCCTGAGAAATGTTCAACTTTAGTCGTTCTGGACAGATTTGTGGGAGCACTGGATCAATGCGTGGAAGTGATTTGGGTGTAAAGTAGGGCTGCAGCTAACGATGATTTTAGTACTCGAAGCTTCTACAGATTATTTCATCGATGCATCGTGATAGTAATAAATGTCAATGCAAAACAGTGTGCTGTATAGTTACATGGATTAAACGAAACGTTGATGCTTTTTAGTAATTGATTGAATGGATGAATCGTGGGAAGTGATCTGAAAAGTGAGCAGTGGAAGAAGAAATAACAGCAACATAAACTCATCAATGAAGAAGAAACGAATAACACGAGGACAGTGTAAACTCTGTCTGTGGCTGCAGCTTATAAAAGTCTGTTGATCAGATGCTTATTGATCTTGTGAGATATGGTGCTGTTAGTGAAGGCAGGACCTGAACCTGGTGGTGGCTCTGAGTCTGAAGCGTACAGGAGGAGCTCAGTTTAAAGTCAGCAGAGTCTCTGTGACATGCTAGTGTCCCCCTTCCAGGGGGGTCTGGAAGAGGACGGATTAGTGAAGCCTGTACCTTTTGATGTTTAGATAGATGTTTAGATAGACGCCGACACGGCGTGCTGCTCACTGATTAGTTTACCTAAGGATGCATCGTGTAGCTGCTCCATTAGCCAATCGGCAGCCATTTTGATAGTTGAATCGTAGCGTGAGGCTACGTCCTGCCTGTGTGGTGAGCTCTGTGTAGAGGACATTACAGTGATAACAACACGTTCGTGCTCTCTACGCCGGTAACCACGACACTGCTGTCACGCAGTTCAAACGAGCCAGATCAACGCCCGCTGCTGGGCCGTATGTCTCTCAGCACAGTGCATGATGGTAGATACGGCTCGGTTAGTGACCAGTGGTTGTGCGCTGCTTTTCACAGTGCATTCTAGGATACTTTGACATCCGCGACCGAAGAATGGCGAGCTCACTGTAAAGTGAGCAGTGAGTGATTTCAGTCATTTAGGGAGAATCAAGATGTTTCACTGTTTTCTGACTCTTTACGTACAAAACAATGAATTGATTAAACTTGAAAAGAATGAATGAATGAACTGAGACCGAGCCTGTGAATCACATGCCTGCTTCCTGTGAGCCTGACGAGTTGATCAGCTGAAAAACTAATTTGATGATAGTTCAAGCTGCCAAAACGTTCTCTCTTCACTTTAACTGCTCTGTGCAGGAACAACAGGACGTGGCGCTCTGTCAGTGAGGTGCACCCTGGGAGTCGTAGTCTGTGTTCTGTCTTGAGTTGTGATGATGGACGTTATCACTGCAGTAGCTCTGCTGCTTCTGCGTGCTGTGTTTGATTCACAGGCCTGCTGAAAACCACCAGATAAGTCTGCAAACCAAAAAAGAGGAAGTGCCTCAGCTCACACCTGTTACTAAAAGGCGTCTCCAGTGACCACTGTGATCAGACCACACTTCCCCGCTCTGTGAACACCCACGCCATTTCCCTCTGCCTGTTTTTAACCTGAACATTAAGTCACTGTTTATCAGACCAGCAGCTGTTTCCTGATGGACAGGTAGCTTCAGCTGTAGAATCAGAACAATCAGCTCAGTTTGCCGTGCAACTCATTAGGAAAGTGTTTACTGAGGTAATAAATCAGCTGAGAATTAGCCTCATTTTCTCATAGACCTACAATCACGCTTCTTTCTGCAGCCGGTGGAGTCGCCCCCTGCTGGCTGGTAGAGAGGACGCAGGTTTAAGTCAGTCTTGGTTCCTGATAAAGATAAAGTACCTGACCTTGGTGAAGAAACCCAGCAGTCATGTTGGAACAGTGATGTCATGGATGGAGCAGGAACATGACATCGACGTGTGTGTTGTTGTACCTCCATCATCAGCTCTTAGTCATGTGACGCATTATGTCACTGAATGTTCTCACAAGTACAGACATACTAATGTCATCAGTTGGAATCAGCGGTCTGTCTGTTCTCTGGGCACAGTTTGATATGAAATATTCTGTATCGGGATATGAGACTTTAGTCGCATCGCACAGCCCTATATAATAAATATAGAATGTAGAGTAACGCTAACCCTGTCTCTCCTCAGACCTGTCCCGTAACCGTCTGTCCGAGCTTCCTCTGGAGGTTTGCCTGTTTGTGTCTCTGGAGAGTCTGAACCTTTACCAGAACTGTCTGAGGTCTCTGCCAGACAGTCTGCTCAACCTGCAGGCCCTCACCTACCTGAACCTCAGGTAAGACTCGCACACAGGCTGAACCTCAGGCAACACTCGCACAGGGGCTGAAGCGCAGGCAACACTCGCACAGGGGCTGAAGCGCAGGCAACACTCGCACAGGGGCTGAAGCGCAGGCAACACTCGCACAGGGGCTGAAGCGCAGGCAACACTCGCACAGGGGCTGAAGCGCAGGCAACACTCGCACAGGGGCTGAAGCGCAGGCAACACTCGCACAGGGGCTGAAGCGCAGGCAACACTCGCACAGGGGCTGAAGCGCAGGCAACACTCGCACAGGGGCTGAAGCGCAGGCAACACTCGCACAGGGGCTGAAGCGCAGGCAACACTCGCACAGGGGCTGAAGCGCAGGCAACACTCGCACAGGGGCTGAAGCGCAGGCAACACTCGCACAGGGGCTGAAGCGCAGGCAACACACTCAAACTCACTCTCTGTAGTTTGTTCTGACTCAGGCCCACATTCACTGTCCTGTTGGCCCAAACACTCAGCAGAGTGATTATAAACCTCTGACTTAAAAATGTTTCTGTCAATAAGTGATGAAGAAAAGTAATTCAGCTTTCGTTGGAGGTTGAACTCTCTCTGTCTCTCTGTCTGTCCATCAGTCGGAACCAGCTGTCTGTCCTGCCGGTGGTCGTGTGCAGTCTTCCTCTGAAGGTTTTGATCGCCTGCAACAACAAACTGGTTTCCCTGCCAGAAGAAGTGGGGCAACTGAGGCAGCTGACTGAGCTGGTCAGTGTGACAAACATGAGTCAGCGTCAATGGGGAACATGAGCGTTAACATGAATATGATGGTGAATGTGATGTCAACATGGTGGTGAATGTGATGTGAGTGCGATGATGAGGGTGACTGTGAACGGGATGTTAATGTGGTAGTGAAAATGATGCCTTGTAGTTGTTGCAGACACTGATGTTGATCTTTTAATGATTTATCAGCTGATAGTCATTTTAAATGATGACAGACTTCCTGTTTTTATTTTCACTCCTAATCCATTTGACAGAAAATGGATTTTAGACCAGGTTATTGAGATTATATTGATATCACGTATACGTTTCCCTGGGAGGGGATTTTATTACCCCCTTCTACACTTGAGTTATTGTTAAGTGATTATTGGCGGTTGTGTGGCCCCCTGTAGGATGTGAGCTGTAATGAGATCCAGACTCTGCCGTCTCAGGTGGGTCAGCTGGAGGCTCTACGAGACCTGAACATCAGGAGGAACCACTTGGTCCGACTGCCCCCAGGTACACGGACACACACACACAGTGGAAACACAGGTGGAACCAGTAACTTAAAGGTTCCTTGGGCTGCATCACTTGAGACCTCAGACCAGAACAGATGGGTGCTGCGTCCCACCAGACTCAACTCATAAAAACAGCGATTTTACCTCACAGCTCATTGTAACACAGTGTATCAGTGTGTACTCTGTAATGCAGTACAGTTTGTGTATCTGTGTGTACTCTGTAATGCAGTACAGTTTGTGTATCTGTGTGTACTCTGTAATGCAGTACAGTTTGTGTATCTGTGTGTACTCAGAGCTGGCAGATCTCCCTCTGGTGCGTCTGGATTTCTCCTGTAACAAAGTGACCTCCATCCCCGTCTGTTACCGCCAGCTCAAACAGCTGCAGACCATCGTCCTCGACAACAACCCTTTGCAGACTCCACCTGCACAGGTAACTCAGGAAGTGACATCAGCGGCGTCCAGCTAGTGGCGCCCATCTGTGGCGATTCTCAGCTGAATGTGTTTTTCTCTGTGTGTAGATCTGTATTAAAGGGAAGATCCACATATTCAAGTATCTGAACTTGGAGGCCAGTAAGACGACCCCTGACCTCCCAGACTACGACAGACGACCTCTGACCTTCAGCTCCTGGTCAGAACGCACACACACTCTCTTCACGTTATCACCATCGCCTTGCAAAGCTGACTGACGGAAAGCCAGTCCTGAAAAAATGGATTGTTAATGAATCTCTGTTTTAAATATTTAATCATGACCCAGAAACTTGATTTGGACGTTTGCTGACGAAGAGTTGTTGAGATGTTTCACTGATTTCACAGTCAGTAAACGTCCGTCGTTCTAATCTCGATTGTTCAGCCCTGTAAACTCCACCCTTGTAGTTCCAGGTTCATCAGACAGAACAGGGGAGCACTTAGACTCAGTGTCGTGGTGTTTCGCAGGGGCTTAGCTAAGGGGGGGTGGAGCTTGCGGCGACTCAGAGTGCAACCACAATAACTGGTACCAATATCAGGACGAGGTGCCGACATTTGTTGTTGTTTATTAACGTGAGATCATTCAAACACAGTAAATACAAACAGCAGCAGCAGAATCACTCGGGACGTTTACTTCCTGCAGTAGTAAAGTTCCTGGAACCTTTTTATAAAATAGTAGTTTCCTGCATATAACTCCAGTTTGAGTACATGCCCCATCCTTCACGGTCTTTGCCATTGGGGGGGGGTGGTCCTTTATCAGCGGTGGCTAAGGAGATGCACAGGTGTCTCCCTGATGGAGAGGCGGAGCCTCGTAGGGTAAAGCAGTAGTGAAGTCGTTAGAGGGCGACGCACGTACAAAATCCACCAGGACATTGTCTCAGGTTACATTTAATTTATACACTCAACAAAGAACAATGCATGGTCAGTATCAGCTGCAGCTTCTGCCGATTCAGTGAGGACTTCCTGCAGATCCTTCACAATAAAAGCCCCTGACTGAATGTGTGTGTACTCTGTCAGTGTGGATGAGCTGTACCCCGGGCGTCCGTACGGAGCGCTGGATTCTGGTTTCAACAGTGTCGACAGCGGAGACAAGAGGTGGTCGGGGAACGAGGTCAGTCACGCACCCTCAGCATGTCCTGTGTTTCCTGTCTGTGTGTGAGCTCACTTCCTGTCTGTGTGTTCAGCCTACAGAGGAGCTGTCCGAGCTGCCGCAGAAGGTGGCCGAGATCAGCAGAGACCAGAGACCGAGAGGAGGAGGAGGAGGAGGAGGAGGAGCGCCTCTGCTGGCTAACGGCACATGTGAGTTCCTCTCTCGCCTGTGTTAACCTGATGAAGGTCAGACTCAGATTATTGAAAGAAGAAGTCTGCAGACCGCGTCCCTCACCTGTTCTGTCTGTCTTCATCAGATGTGGAGCTGGAGCAGATAGACTTCATAGACAGCAGTGTGGGGGAGGAGGAGGAGGAGGAGGGGAGGAGTCGAGGAGGAGGAGGAGGAGGGCGGGACAGTGCCAGCCTGAGCTCTCAGTTCATGGCCTACATCGAGAGACGCATCACCAGAGAGGTAGGACTCTGATGGAGGTCACCTGAGGCCACACCTGACACGGTGTTACTGTGAAACTAACCCTGACACATCACCGTGTTTGAGCTCTCACCTGCCCCTCAGCTGAACAGTCCTGATTGGCTGCCACACGTACAGCCAATCAGGACTGATTGATTTCACCACCAGTAAAAGAAGTGGGGGGACTGGATTTGTCGGCAGCAGTTCAGTCCTCAGAAGGTCAGAGGTCAACTTTATTTTGTTAAACTTCCTGTCTGTGCTTTCAGGGTTCCCCAGGAAAAACCACCCTGACCCGGACAGAAGACCCGAGGAGACACAACAGGTACACACACAAACCAGTTTGATTCCACTTGACTTTGATGTCTGAGCAGCTCGGGGGAGCCTCCCTTCAGCTCAGACTCTCCGACTGCAGAAACTGACAGAATAAAGTCTCTAACCCGACTCAGCTGCTCTGTGACCTTCATTTACCATAAAGGCTCCAATACGTGTGCACTCCAGATTCAGCAGCAGCTAACCTGACGTGTTCTCACAAACAAGCCCGAGCTGTTCAGACCTTTAGCTAACCGGGTTAAGTGGTCGTCTCCAGCGTTGGAGCTCTTTAGTGTTTTGACAGACTCTATATATATATTTCAGTATGAGAGGTGTAAAAATATTCTGTTCATTTTGAAACTATGGAGGAAAAAATTAGACTGTGGTTGGGTCTCTGTGATTCATGGGAAACCAGCTGTCAGACTAACGTCCTCCTGTCTGTCCACCTGTCTGTCCTGTAGGACTGTGGTGGACGGGGTCGCAGCACCCTCCGGCTCCCAGAGCCAGGTAACACACCCCTCATTCACACACAGTCATTACAGTCATGAACTACAAATCCCAGCTGCTCACGTGTGCGTGTCCTCCCCTCAGAGAGGCGGAGGTGTGGAGAGAATGAGGAGGGAAGCTCAGCTCGCCGCTCTGAGGTACGACGAGGAGAGGCAGCGCAATCGTTCTCTGCAGAGAGACTCTGCGTCCAGCTACAGCAAGGTACCACCGGTTCACCCACTCACACCTGCACACTGTCACAGCACGTCACACCTGAGCCTGGTACACTGAGCAGCTGGTCTCGTTTACATTCCCACCAGAACGTGGCAGTGAATGTTTAAACCAGAGGTCTGAGATTGTTCTGAGGGTTCATGGTGAAGAAGACTCACTCCTGCTGCTGTTGTTGTGTTTGTTTTTCAGCACAAAGCAGCTCAGAGTCCCTCCAAGTCCAGTCCAGATAGTGAGGTGAGACTCTACATGTCTATCTGCCCCCCCCAGCTTTCACTATAGGCCCCTCCCCTCCACACCTGTTCACCTTCACCTGATGTCTGTGTGTCTTTGTCTGGTGTTTGTTCAGACCATCTATCCCTCCAGACGCTCCACCCACACAGATGACTCCGCCCTCTTCATGGTAAGAGTTTGACCCCCCCCCAACAGAACTAAACATCAGTCGTCTTTTTCTTACCCTGCTTCTCCGCACACTGCGCTTCCTGTGGCTGTTTCACAATAATCAGGAATGTGATTTTTCTACCTGTAAATCTGACCCACGTGAATCATGCAGATCTGTACAGGAAGTGAAATGTGAAATGGATTTGAGTTCCTTTCCAAGTATCAACAAGGATGTTTGTTTGCGTTCAGCTGCCCATTCTTCACCTGCGCATCAGTGGTAACGCGTTGGAAAGTAATACTGTAATATTACTTTTCCCAGTAAAGAGTAATGTAACTGATTACTATTTCCAGAACAGTTGTATAATTACAGTTACTAATCCAAGTAAAGCTGCGCTACTGAACGCACCATCCCTGACGTGAATGCGCGACCGCGCTGCAGCTCAGCGGCGCCGGACCTTATGTTGTTCAAGTCAGCTGAAGGAGGAAAAAAAAGCTTAAGGAAGACTGGAGAACAGGGAGAGGGAGGTGTTGTCGACAGCTGTAACGTTATTGCCATTATTGTGTCACAGTCAAAGGGTGCTTTCACACCTCGATCGATTGGAGATGTTCTGAAACAAGGGGGCGGTTCCCGTTTGGCCCGGTTCGTTTGGAAATATGTGAACACAACAATCACACTCTGATCCGAAACAAAACAACCGAGCCGAGATCGCCTAGAGGTGGTCTCGGTGGTCTCTGCTCAATTCCATACGAACCCTGGAGCAGTTCGCTTGCAGTGAGAACACAGCCGACCCGTGAACGCCCCGTATTTCTGAGTAACTTCCCCAACACTGAGTTGACAATAAGGATCGGTTAAATTGTGTATGTTTTGATTATTGCTTGTTATAGGCTATTTCTAACGTTGTTGTCGATTGGTCACTCATATATATATATATATATATATATAGATACACTTTGCTGTATGAACGGTTGCTTTTTAAGTCATCCTGATGTTAAAGGTTTTAGCACGTTATAATTTCTTGTGAATGGTTGTGGCGGGGTTAATATAAGGCCTTTTCAGACGGCTTGGGGGGGGGGGGCTCAGTATATTTTCCTGCTTTTTTGCCCTTTGCCAATCACATGCCTGCAATAATAGCTCGTGGAAAGACACACAGCGCTGTAACGTGTTGCTCTGATTAGTTACTGCATGTGAGCGATCTGTCACTTCAGCTTGTCTGGCTGATACGAGGGGACAGTTCCAGTCAGCCTGTGACGCCACCGTGTCCTCAGCAGGAACTCACCTGTCCACCTCCTGTTTCAGCCCTCATCTGTTTCTCCCTGCCGTCTCTGTGTTTGTCTCCTTGTCTGTCAGTCTGTTGACCGCTGTTCTCACGCTGCTGGTAGCTCCGCCTTCTGTCTGCTGCTTCCTGTCTGTCTGACCTACAAGCTGGACAAAGTTTATTTACTCTGACTTTTATCCATCAGTGTTGTGTTATTTCATTTTCTCATTATCATCATTAAACCTCATGTTCAGACTTCCAACCAGCAGCCTGTCAGTCCGCCTGTAAACACTGTAAACGCTTCCTGTCGGACTTCCTGTCTGAGGCTCTCAGCCCATTGGTTCCTCCTGAAGACGTAATTTTTTAAACATAGTTTTTCATGTTAAAAACATACATGCAGGGATAAAAAATGTGACATCTTTGCGATTCCAAAGAATTTTGGAGCAGATTAGTAGTAAGTAAGTAAACCTGCCCAGATGTTCAGGATGTGAAACTTCCTGCTGACCTTTTCCTCGGCTCACTTTCTGCCCGCTCGCTCTCTCTGAAAACTGAGGAGAGGAAGCGAGCGTTGAGTGTCACCGTGCTCAGCACGTTCACTGCTGGGTGATCTGAACAGGTTAACAATGAAGGGAAGTGTAGGATATGATAAGGTTTCTGGTTTTGCTGGCGTTTGAGTCAGCTGAGGAGCTACCTGTGTGTTCAGGTGTGTAACTGTGTCGTGTCTCTGCAGGGGGAGGACAGAGCTGCCCTGTCTCCTACAGGTAAGACCGCTCTCTGCTGTTTACCTGCAGTCCGTTCACCTGACTGACTTGGACTGATTTATGGTGTTTTCTTCCAGCCAATCAGTCGCCTTCTTACCCCAGCCCAGGGGGCGCGGCCTCCTGTCGGACAGCCAGTCTGAGACCAGAGAGCTTCCTGTTCCGTCTCGGGCAGAAAGAAGAGAAGCGGAAAGGTGAGATGTCGCCAGGTGACCTTCTTTACCTGTTATCTCACCGGCCAATCGTATCTGACTGCTGTGTCCTGTGTGTCCTCCAGCTGATGCTGCTGCTCCTCAGAGCCAGGAGGAGGCTCCTGCTGCTCCTCCTCTGGTTGGAGAAGACGCTGAGCTGGTGGAGCAGCTCCGAAAGGTTCGTCTGCTGCACACGGTGATCTTTTTTTAAGGAACACAGACCCCTTTAGATCTGATACAGACTCATCAAGTCTTTGTGATGTCCCGTCGGGTGGCGTCCTTTAGTTTGACCACAGATGATGAAGTCATCCACATGACAACCAGAGCTCGTTCCTACCAAACGCTGTCAGTCCAGTTTCCACAACAAGAATAATCAGAAGGTCTGTGCAGGTTCTGCTGACTGTTACTGACCCAAGTCAGACCTTTCTTTTATAGGTGAACATCTCAGGAAGGTTGTATTTGACCAGTTACAAGGTCGCCATGAGACATGCTTTTATTACTAGCTGCTTATTATTGTCTCTCCTGTTCCTGGTCTCCTAAACGTTTTTAAGATAATGAGTGATCATTCAGAACGCTGCAGCCAATCACAGCCCAGCTACCTGGATGACCTCATCTCTTAGTGTTCCTGCAGGAACGACGTGAGGCTGCGTTCTGTATCTCGGTGTATTTGTGTTGTCTGACCTCTTGTGACGTCACAGTTTCCTTCTGATTAGTCTGTATTGATCTGCTGTGGCAGACAGCACGTTCCCATGGTTACCCTCTGACAGTTGCTGACCAGCTGATATATATATAAACCCGGTTACGGAGAGAGTGTCGGGTGTAATGCCTGCATGACATCACGCAGTCTGGATGTTCACCTGTCTGTCTTTCCGCCCAGAATATCGAGGCTCGCCTGAAGGTGTCGTTGCCCAGCGACCTGGGAGCAGCTCTGACGGACGGGGTGGTGCTCTGTCACCTGGCCAATCACGTGAGACCACGATCCGTCCCCAGCATCCACGTCCCCTCCCCCGCCGTGGTGAGTACAGATGATTATCACCGAGCAGGAGACGAGGTCGCTGCTGGTTATTAACACCGGTCTCTGTGTCTGCAGCCCAAACTCACCATGGCCAAGTGTCGACGAAACGTTGAGAACTTCCTCGAGGCGTGTCGAAGGATCGGCGTTCCACAGGTAACGCACACACATTGGTACCGAGGTTCTAGTTTACCTGCAGTACCTTTTATTTAAATCAGGAAAGGAGTCAGTGACATCATCAATCTGATCAGACACATCTTAGTTCAGAGAGGGACCAGAACTAATGACCACTTACCTGCGACCTTTTTAATATGTGTATATATCTAAGGTGGATGATGGATGGATGCGTGATGGATGGATGATGGATGCATGATGGATGGGTGGATGATGGATGGAGGTTGGGTGGGTGAAGGATGATTGATGGGAGGGTGGATGATGGATGCGTGATGGATGGGTGGATGATGGATGCGTGATGGATGGGTGGATGTTGGATGATGGATGGGTGGGTGGATGATGGATGGAGGTTGGGTGGGTGAAGGATGATGGATGGGAGGGTGGATGATGGATGCGTGATGGATGGGTGGATGTTGGATGGGTGATGGATGATGGATGGGTGGATGTTGGATTATGGATGGGGATGGATGATGGGTGGATGTTGGATGATGGATGCGTGAATGATGGGTGGGTGAAGGATGATGGATGGCTGGATGATGGATGGGTGATGGATGATGGATGCGTGAATGATGGGTGGATGATGGATGGGTGGATGATGGATGGAGGTTGGGTGGGTGAAGGATGATGGATGGCTGGATGATGGATGGGTGAAGGATGATGGATGCGTGAATGATGGGTGGATGTTGGATGGGTGAAGGATGATGGATGCGTGAATGATGGGTGGATGATGGGTGGGTGATGGACGATGGATGGGTGGGTGAAGGATGATGGATGGGAGGGTGGATGATGGATGCGTGATGGATGGGTGGATGTTGGATGGGGATGGATGGTGGGTGGATGTTGTATGATGGATGCATGAATGATGGGTGGATGTTGGATGGGTGATGGATGATGGATGCGTGATGGATGGGTGGATGATAGATAACGGGTGGAGGGACAGTAACATCACAGCCGTTGAGACTCTTCCGGTTCACCAGGCCGATGCAGGTTTTAGTCTCCGTCTCTTTGGGTATGCAGGGCCTGATTGGTGGAGAGGGTGGTGTTTCAGTTCCTGGTCAGCGTTTTAACCCCTCAGTCTTCCTGTTGTCCTTCTCCAGTACAGTCCAACAGTGGAGGCTCCTAAATGCTTAAATCTGAAAACCTTCTGGTTGTTTCACGCTGACCTGCCTCCCCAAAGGACTGCTGTAAATCTGGGCTCCGTAAACAGGAAGTGTACCGGCTGTGACATCACTGTCTTGAAACTGATCCTCCTCTAACAACACTTTCTTTCTTCTCTTTCATCTTCCCGCCTTTCATTAACCCTTTACTCTGTCCGTCTCACTCCTTTGTCTTCTAACTTGTGCCTCTTGCCATGTCCATCCCACTCACTCAAACACTCAGGAGAACCTGTGTTCAGTGGGGGAGGTCCTGGAGGGGAACGGGGGCGGGGTTTATGGGACGGTGGGTGTGCTGCTCTCTATGGCCCCACCTCCGATCAGCCCTTCCCCCCGGGTCCAGCTGGCAGGCTTTGCCCTCTTCTACCTGTCCGTCATGTCGGCGTTGTGTGCCATCTACGTGCACCTGGCTCCACACGTCTGAACCCCACCTGAGCACTAAAGGCGGTCGCAGCCCGACAGACGTCCGATGAGTTTGTTGCACTACGATCCTCCCAAACGTATCTCAGTAACTAAATAAGATTCACGGCACAAATTTAAAGTAATACTTTTGTGTAGTCCTGTTCAGCACAAACCTGGAGGCAGCTTGGCTCTGGGTATCATCCTTCATTTTATGCCACTTACCTAGGTCTGGGTTGTGAAGTAAGATAGCCCAGGTGTCCTTCTCTGTAGCTACATCCACCAGGAGTCCCCGGGCCAGATGGGCTACATTTAAGGGTGTGCTCGATCAGAACTAGTTCTGTCCTGTCACGTTGGAAATCAAATTCTTGTGGTTGTTCCCAACGGCTCAGAGGTGGACTAACAAGCCGGCCATCAGACAGGAAGGAGACGTTTAAATATGGAGAACAGCCTTCTCTCCTGGAAGACATTCAAGGGACTCTGCTGACCAATCACAGCGTTAGTGGGTGTGAATGTTTTGGAAAGTTACAGAAATGGTAAGACACAGTACCTCCCCAATAACAGGATCACCATCATATCTGAAACCAATATCGAATCCACTTCTCAAGTCCCAGTCTTATCAGTGTTTTTCTTGAGTCTAAGTGTTCTGCTTTCCATGTTTGAAATCGTTTTGTACTGATGATGGTGATCATGTACAGACCCAGTCACCTGAGCCTTTAAGGTCCCTGCTGTCTGAACTCCAGAGGTCTGGACTCAAATCACATGACTTAGACTCGGGCCACGAGTCTGATGACATTAGACCTGACAATAGATTTGCGACTCTACCTTGACTTAAACAGCCATATGTTCAATCAATCCGATGGCAGCCAATCAGATTTAAGACCTGGAGGTAAAGGTGTATTTGTTGGTGAAGACCAGTAGACCGCAAATAAGTACTTGTTTTGGACTTGAAGTACATAGTGTAAGCACAAAGAACTGGATGGCCTTGACTGTGGACTTGATGGCCTTGACTTGGGGCTCGATGGTCTTGACTCAACTTCTTGGCCTGGACTCTGGACTTGTTGGCCCTGGGTCGGGACTCGATGGTCTTGACCCTTGACTCTTTGACCTTGGCACTGGGCTTGTTGGCCCTGGCTCGGGACTTGGTGGTCTTGAACTTTTGACTTTTTGGCCTTGGCTCAGGGCTTGTTGGCCTAAATTCTGGCCTTGGTGGTCTTGACCCTAGACTTTTTGGCCTTGAACTCTGGACTTGATGGCCTTGAACTCTGGACTTGATGGCCTTGACTTGTGGCTCGATGGTCTTGACTCGACTTTTTGGCCTTGGCTCTGGACTTGATGGCCTTGAAGTCTGGACTTGGTGGCCTTGAAGTCTGGACTTGGTGGCCTTGAAGTCTGGACTTGGTGGCCTTGAAGTCTGGACTTGGTGGCCTTGAAGTCTGGACTTGGTGGCCTTGATGTCTGGACTTGGTGGCCTTGAAGTCTGGACTTGGTGGCCTTGAAGTCTGGACTTGGTGGCCTTGAAGTCTGGACTTGGTGGCCTTGACCTTTGACTTTTTGGCCTTGGCTCAGGGCTTGTTGGCCTAAATTCTGGCCTTGGTGGCCTTGAAGTCTGGACTTGATGGCCTTGAAGTCTGGACTTGAAGTCTGGACTCGATGGTCTTGACTCGACTTTTTGGCCTTGAAGTCTGGACTTGATGGCCTTGAAGTCTGGACTTGATGGCCTTGACTCGACTCGATGGCCTTGAAGTCTGGACTCGATGGCCTTGAAGTCTGGACTCGATGGCCTTGACTTGGGACTCCACGGACAAGAACGATCCAAAACAGTGACTCCGTCCCCCTCAGCTGAACCTGCCTGAAGCCTTTAAAGGATCACAGGTGAAGCTAAAACTTGACAATCCACCAAAGTAGGCGGTTCACCCTGAAACTTGTTTCCTGTTGAAGCTCCACCCCCTGTGCCTTATGTTTGGCTGCCTGTCTGAGTGTGTGTTTTTTTTACTGTTTTTACTGTTTGTAATGTGGTCCAAAGCCACCCTCCCAGCATAGCCTCTGGAGACCCTCCCCGGGTCAGAAACCTGCCATACTGTGTGAACATGTGCACCAAGAAACAGTGTTTTCATGGTCTCCCTCTCTGTGAAACAAACAGTGTTTGAGACACTCAGCATACATGTCAGAAATAAATATCTTCCAAACGGAGCATTTGTCTTTATTAGAGGAAGAACAGCTGAAGTCTCAGTGTAGGAACCAGGACTCCCATAGTCCTGCAGGAACGAATCCTAACATGTTTCCACCGTCTCTGGTTCTGCTTCTACTGTTCTCCGAGTTCCTGGAACTGAATGTGGGCCCTGCTCAGGAGGGATACTAAATCCCAGTGTGGGTACTTTGAGGGGTCGGTGGCAGTGCCGTCTACAACAACACAAGAACCGTAACCTTCGTTTTACTGCTGCGTCTGCCGGAGCAGGACCGCCTGTACTGGAGAGCAGGCTTTTCATTGACTATTAATCTGTCAATTATTTTCTCGGTTAATCGATTGGTTGTTTTATAAAGTGTTTGACATGGTTTCACCATTTTCTATCAGTGTTTCCCGAAGCCCAAGATGACCTAAAGAAATTCAGTCTGCTGACACACAGTAGGAGTAAAGAAACCAGAACTCATTCACATTTAAGAAGCTGGAATCAGAGAAGTTTTTCTCTTAAATGACTCATGCCAGGTCGCGGTTAGCTCAGTTGGTAGAGTGAGGGCCACATGTACAAAGGCTGAGTCCTTAACTCCAGGGGCCCGGCTTCGAATCCAGCCTGTGGCCCTTTGACGCCCTCTTTCCTTTCACTATCCGCTGTCCTGCCGAAGACGGACAATAAATATGTTTAAAAAGAAAAGGCTCCTCATCGATTGATCAGCAAAATAGTTGGTGATTAATTTTATAGTTAACAACTAATTGATTAGATGTCGATTAGCAACTCAGCAGAGGGTCAGCAGCCTCAGGTCATTTTGAACAGACCCGTTTGGGTCACAGAGCGTTGTTGTGTCCGTGTTTCCATCTGCTTCCTGTCTGAGAGCTGTTCTGAGGTTCTGGCTTAGTTTGGTGATGGCATGGCGGCGCATGGATGAGGGTTCATGTTAAAGGCGCTACGTGCTGCTGATTGCGAGAAACTCATGAAATGCCACCTCGGGACGACTGCGTCGACGGAGATGAAATTGAAAGAAAGATTGAAAGATTGATGAAAGATTTTCTGTTTGCCTTCAGATTTAGTTCCCTATCCTCTTTTACAGTTTCACAGAGTCATTCAGGCTGAGGTGTATAAGGACAGCTGAGCAGCTGCATTGGTTATGATCACATTACCATGAAAAACTAGCAACACAAGACGCAGCAACATTACTGACTAGTCCAGCAGGAAGAAGGCCGGTGACGAGTTGTTTGGTTCATGTGTCATGATCAAAAGACAGATTAGTTAGTACTTTAACACATCCTGAAGTTTGTGTCAAAGTTTTACAGTTTAGAAGCAAGTGAAGTTTAAACGTCCCGACACGAAGCCATTCTACCTTATTTAGATACTGCAGAGGGGGGGGGGGCAGGGTCCTCACAGCGGACCATGAACGCAGTCTGCAGATGTAGATAAAAAGGGCAGCAGAGATCGGATCCAAATCTGCATTAGCTGTTGGATATTCTAGTTAGCTAAGTTATATTAAAATTATTTTTTATTAAGAAAAAAGGACATAATGAGTTTGCTATTACGTATTAAGGAGGGCAGTGTCACGCTTTCTAAATAAAAACAAGAATAACAGAAACTACTTAAATGTAAATGGTTGTGTTTCTTCTGTCCCGCACAGTAGGGACGGATGAAAACAGTGCGCACCTTCACGTTCAAAGTGAAATTATACTGAAGTCGTTCCACATTTTAACAAGACAGCAGCTGGGATTGATAGAACACACACGAGTGGTTGACGACGACAAATGACTTCTGTCTGTAACGTTGTATTTTAAAATGACATCTGAGAAGTGTTTCCATCGTCCCGAAATGTTTTTCACCGTGTCTTTTAAATGTCTTGTTGAGTCTCGGTACTCACAGATTTACCCACAACATCTAATCCAGTTGTTGCTGGTTAACCAGCCTAAAGGAATGCAGCAAGTAACCCTTTATTCTATAACATCGTGACGCCCCTCAGATCTGCCAGACGGCACCTCGGCCCGAAGACAGAGGAGGACCGTTAGGACATGAGTAGGGCTGCAACTAACGACGATTTTGATAGTCGATTATTGACTATTCGGCTTATGAATCACAAAATTACACAGTGCGTCTAATTTAGCTGTCAGCTTTTAAATTAAAGTTGTTGTAGGCATGTGCTAATCAGGACAATAAAATAAATACTGTTTTGAAAAATACATCTTTTAATGAACGTTTCTGCTGCAACAACAGAAAGTTCCACTGAAATCACGTCCTGATCTCAGCAGCTGATCTGCTGTTTAGTAACTGAGCAGTTTACACGGTGGTACTGCAACACGCCGCCGGGACAAACTGACCCTGTAAACAACGTCATGCGTCATATTTGCCTAATTTACAAGAGGGGGTCAATAATAACAACTCTGTAGTAGACAGCGTTTCACAGCGTTGATTTAGTTTCTTCTAACTCAACAACTCACAAAACTGATATTTTAAGGGAGTTTGCCTCACGCACAGACAGGAGACCTGTTCTTTAGAAAGTATGAATCCTATGTATCCTGTGTTGTCTGATCTTGCGCACTCGGCAGCAACATGTTCTCCAGCAGAGAACGTCGCCATGAACGATGCATCGTTTGTTAATGTAAAGTCGGGGGAACATCTGGAAAGTGAACGCGGCCGTTGGGTTTCATAATTATGTGCTACTCTCAGCGCCATTATCAATCAATCAAACTGACCGAGGGGAACTTTGTAGAAAACGTTCCAGCTCATAAAGTGAAGTAACGCGCTTTAACGTGAAGCTAGCTCGCCGACTAGCTTACCGTTACGCGCCTCCTCTCCAGACGCTCCGGTGTTTCCAGGAGAGCTCAGCTTTGCTGCAGTTGGTCCCCCTCAGGGATGGACCCTGGTTCTGGATGTGGAGGGGGAGGAGAAAAGGCTGATAAGTGGCCCCCCAGGTTATTTTGTCTTTCCCTCCGTTTCTTTTCTTTCTTCCATCAGTTCCTTTTCAGTTCTTCCTCCCTTGTGTTGCCATGGTTACTGTTGTTTTATCCGTTCTTTTAATTTGCCCTTCGTTGTTTTTCTTTTGTCCCCCGTCGTGTCTTCCTCTGTGGTGTCTGTCTGTAGAGTCAGTTGTGTCTTCCTCTGCACATCCTGGAGGAGCGAGGGCTCCCCCAGGTGGCCGGGACCGTCGGCGCCCTGCTGGAGCTGGCCCCGCCCCGACACCCCGTCACCCCGACGACGCCGACCATCACCATGTAGACGACGCGCTCAGTCGGCGTCCTGTAACGCTGCTGTCAGTGTGTTTTAAAGTGTTCAGGATCTGATGGAGAGACTCAGCGACAGGTTTAACTTTTAACGAGGTCACCAGGTGATCCCTCCTGATGAGTGGACAGGTAACGCCACAGAGAAGCAGGATATCTACTGCAGGGGAGCAGCCATCCTGGATCTGCGTGCAGACAGAGGAAACATTCGGGTTCCCTCCTGATTCGTCTCTTTGGCTAAATTTATGTTCACGCGTCTCTAAATCGAATCAGGGATCGTATCTTTAAAATCCGTGTCTGTAAAGGATCAGATCCTTCAGAGCCCTTCAGATCTCAGAATCATTCAGGCTTATTAGCATCATGGGTAGACGCAGTTTTGACATGAAGCTAACTTAGCTAAATGCTAACGTTAGCTTCTGGTGTCGTTGGATTGAAAATGAGCCTGTTATTATTTTCACCTTTTGTTTTTCTACACTAGTGATGGTTCAGATCATCAGCTTATTGACCTTTGATTTATTTATGGATCTATTAAACATCCAGAGGAAAACGTGTCACAGCAACGACGACGTCCAAAGATATTTACAGGAAACTGATCGATAACGTGTAAAATCCTAATTATGTCAGGAAAACGCAGTGACATGTTTTATAAACTCTTGCTTTTAGTAACTGTTGGTTTGGAAATAAAGCTAACGTAGCTAAAAGCTAATGTTACTTTAAACTGAAAGTTTTATACATTACGCTGCTAATTGCTAACAACAGCTAACGAAAATGTGCAGCAGATTTTTTTTTAATGACACTCACGTAGCTCACAGCTACCATTAGCTAATATTCAACCATGTGGTTTTGGGGTTGAAGCTAATATAGGTCGATGCCAATGTTGGCTAACATCGATAAAGTCTATTTAACCCCAACAGTAAAAAAAATTATCACTGATAATTGTAGCTAACATTATAAACTTAATTGGGTTTAAGTTGAGTTTACATCCCGCAGCTAATTAGCGAACAATCTAGCTGGATTGTTACATTAGCTAATCTAAATTTACTCAGTTTAGCTAAGAAGCTGATGTAGCTTCATGCTAACATTAGTTTGATATGGGCAGAGATTACATCAACGCTGAAACATGCTAACAAGTGTTAGCATAAGTGCACTGTAGTTGGTCTGAAAATGCTAATTGTAGCATCGTCATTATGAACCCGGGAGGCTTGGAGTTTAAGCTAACACAGCTAGCTGTAAAGCTAAACATGCTAGTTTTCGACTTGGCGCTGATGTAGCTCAGTGCTAACGTTAGCTAACGTCTCTCCATCAGATCCAAACAACTTAAATTATCCTCTGAGTTCTGGCTCGCCGTCATGTGACGCCCACAAGTCTTTCAGCCCTGAACTCCGCCTCAGAGGCTCTTCACTGTCGCACAGCCGGCAGACAGACGCCACCACCTTTCTGTACACAGGAGCCGGCACACGGACACCGGTGGACGGACGCCATCTCCTCGCTGTATACAGGATTGTTTTTATTTTTCATAAAGTTTGTTGTTCTGATGTTTTTATTCTTGTTGTCCGTCACCGCCTGATTGATCCTCCACACCGGGCCTTCGTCACGCTAACCTGCTGCACTCCTCACATTCACCATCTGGCCAAAAGTATGTGGACACTTGCTGCTACAGCATTCAGCGATCTGAACCAGCAGCTCTCAACCTGGGGGTCGTGACCCCTCCACAAGGCGGTCTGAGAACTTATAGTTGGACTTTTCTAATAATAATAATAATCAGAATGATGATAAAACTTGATCAAACACAGCAGCTCTGTTACAGAGAACGAAGGCTCTCGTGTGATTGGAGGACAACGATCAGGTGGTGTTTCTGTTGCATTCTGGGACTTTTCTCTGGTGACGAGGTGAATCCTCCTGATCTGACACTAAACGCTGCGGCTCGTTCTGCAGATTTATTAAATGTTTGTGTACAAATATATTCTGTAAATATATATAAATATATATATATATATATATGAGGCTGAAACCTGTGTGTTGTCATGACGACGCAGAGCATCATAGACGCTCGGACAGACGCGGCGCCTAATTAAAGGTCAAAGGACGAGATTTTTGTAAAGAATATGAAAGAACACGTGGCGGGGGGGGCGGAGCTTCCCCCTGAACATACCTGTTGCCATAGCGTTAAAGAGATCAATCATGTTTATCTGAGGTTACCGCTGAGCTGCTGCTGACGGGACGGAGGGAGGCGTGTTCACTGTGGGCTCGTGGTGCATTCAGGTGACGTAGGACACTGAGTTTGACCTTCGGTTTGTTCCTGTTTCACCTGAACGCAGCGTCACCCCTTCAGTTTAAACTAAAAACACTGGGCCCTGAGTTCACAAAGTTTGTGTGAGTCTCCACCAGTCAGACTCACACAGGTGATCTCACCTGTGTGAGTCTCAAACCTGGTTCAGCTCTCTGGGGTTTGTTTGGTGCCTGTGAGGCCGAGCTCAGGGCCCAGCTGTTCACTTCAGCTACTGTGATTGACAGGTGGTCTGGACTGATGGACGATGTGGTTCATGTTTGTACAGAGGTGTTTCTTCTTCTTGGTGTGTTCCTCCTGAGGCGGTGACGGGTCACATGACCGCGGGGTCACGTGGGTTTAAAGGACATTCCGCTGTCCCGGAGGACAGACGGGCTGTCTCACGGTTTTTAAGTTTTACAATTTTTCACTTTGTTTTTGCTGAAACTGTATAAAGATGTGAACGCTGTAAGAAGTTAACTTTAAGTTCATTAAAAATATTTTAATTTGACTCGTTGCTGATGTCATCGCCGTGTCTGAGCGGAGGGCGTTCTTTAGACAGCTCCAGTTCAGCAGCAGGTCTGGACCCAACAGGTCCCACCGGGAGCAGCACTGAGGGACCCGGTCTGGTAGTGGACGCTCTGGGACCAGTGGGGGGACAGACGCCTCCTCAGAGCCTCTCGGGGTTCACTGGCCCCTGAAGCCAAACATAAAGAGTTTCATTGAAACTGAAAAAGAGACGGCTGTTTCTAATTAATAAATATTTAGAGATCATCAGCTGATTGGATAAAAACTTTCCTCCATCATGAAACAAAAATAATAATTATTAAAATGTCCAGTTTACAAATCATCCCAGAATATTTCAGACACAAGAACATCAGACTTGTTTCCATTTCTGTGTCAGGAAACACTCATTTATCAGAATCAATATTAAAACTTGGTGTAAATTAATAAACTTTCAGTCGTTAAAATGTGCTGCTTCGGCTTCAGGTGGGTTCCTGCAGGACTTCCTGTCAGTCAGAAGATCTTAATCATGGTTATTACACTTCCTGTCTGGGTCACGCCTCTGGACGGCGAGCAGCTGCAGACGCTGTCTTGAGGAGATCAAAGGGCTGTTTCAAAAACCAAGATCGCGTTTTAAGCCAGGATTTTCCAAATATCTTGGCTGAATTAAGCCCTGATTCGGTTTCACGAAAGCAGTAGCACATAAGTTACCATGGCGATTTATTCTGTGCAGCTAGCCTGCTCCAGACCAGGCTAACAGCCAGGCTTAGTTAATCCTGGTGCCTTATCTGTTCAGTCAGCGGTCACGCCGATCAGTTTGATAATTGGAGAAGACGCGTGCACCATAGTTTGTACACAGCGAGCATCAGCGAGTAGGTTTACATGGAATGAAAGCACATGTAATTATATATCTATCCATCTATATATATCCTCTTTCTCCTCCTTTGGCCAGTTTATTATTATAGAAGAAGTGGCTGGAAAAGGCTGGACTGAAGGACAGCACAGAAGCACTAATCATGGCGGCACAAGAACAGGCGCTCACTACAAGATCAGTAGAGGCTGGGGTCTACCACACCAGGCAGGACCCCAGGTGCAGACTGTGCAAGGAGGCCCCTGAGACAGTACAGCACATAACAGCAGGCTGTAAGATGCAGGCAGGAAGTGCGTACATGGAACGCCATAACCAGGTAGCTGGCATAGTGTACAGGAACATCTGCCATGAGGATGGGCTGGAAGTCCCAAGGTCAAAATGGAAGACACCTCCTAAGGTAGTTGAGAATGACCGAGCTAAGATCCTGCGGGACTTCAAGATCCAGACTGACAAACCGGTGATGGCCGACCAACCAGACATCGTGTTGATCGACAAACAGCAGATAGATGCGGTGATAAATGTGGCGATCCCAAGAGACGGCAACATCAAGAAGAAGGAACACGAGAAGCTTAAAGGGCTGAAAGAGGAGCTAGAAAAGATGTGGAAAGTAAGAGCAACAGTGGTGCCAGTGGTGATCGGAGCACCGGGGGCCGTGACCCCTAAACTGGGAGAGTGGCTCCAGCAGATTCCAGGTAAAACATCAGAGGTCTCTGTCCAGAAGAGTGCCGTCCTAGTAACAGCTGAGATACTGAGCAGAACCCTCAGACTCCCAGGACTCTGGTAGAGGACCCGAGCTTGAGGATGACGCATACCACCATACCATACAGTGAGGAAAATAAGTATTTGAACACCCTGCTATTTTGCAAGTTCTCCCACTTAGAAATCATGGAGGGGTCTGAAATTGTCATCGTAGGTGCATGTCCACTGTGAGAGACATAATCTAAAAAAAAAATACAAATCCAGAAATCACAATGTATGATTTTTTAACTATTTATTTGTATGATACAGCTGCAAATAAGTATTTGAACACCTGAGAAAATCAATGTTAATATTTGGTACAGTAGCCTTTGTTTGCAATTACAGAGGTCAAACGTTTCCTGTAGTTTTTCACCAGGTTTGCACACACTGCAGGAGGGATTTTGGCCCACTTCTCCACACAGATCTTCTCTAGATCAGTCAGGTTTCTGGGCTGTCGCTGAGAAACACGGAGTTTGAGCTCCCTCCAAAGATTCTCTATTGGGTTTAGGTCTGGAGACTGGCTAGGCCACGCCAGAACCTCGATATGCTTCTTACAGAGCCACTCCTTGGTTATCCTGGCTGTGTGCTTCGGGTCATTGTCATGTTGGAAGACCCGGCCTCGACCCATCTTCAATGCTCTAACTGAGGGAAGGAGGTTGTTCCCCAAAATCTGGCAATACATGGCCCCGGTCATCCTCTCCTTAATACAGTGCAGTCGCCCTGTCCCATGTGCAGAAAAACACCCCCAAAGCATGATGCTACCACCCCCATGCTTCACAGTAGGGATGCTGTTCTTGGGATGGTACTCATCATTCTTCTTCCTCCAAACACGGTTAGTGGAATTATGACCAAAAAGTTCTATTTTGGTCTCATCTGACCACATGACTTTCTCCCATGACTCCTCTGGATCATCCAAATGGTCATTGGCAAACTGAAGACGGGCCTTGACATGTGCTGGTTTAAGCAGGGGAACCTTCCGTGCCATGCGTGATTTCAAACCATGACGTCTTATTGTATTACCAACAGTAACCTTGGAAACGGTGGTCCCAGCTCTTTTCAGGTCATTGACCAGCTCCTCCCGTGTAGTTCTGGGCTGATTTCTCAGACCCCTCCATGATTTCTAAGTGGGAGAACTTGAAAAATAGCAGGGTGTTCAAATACTTATTTTCCTCACTGTATATGCCTATATAGATATATTTCATAATTGTATAATACTCCCAAATTATAGTCCTACTTCCACCTTTTTTTCCCTCTTCCTGGGATCACTCGTTTGCTGCGAGCTTGGGAGAGAAAACAACGATTGATACATTGGGTTACTGTCATGCTTACAGTGTGCAAATCTTGCAGTTGCTGGATTTCCAGTTTCCTCAGTAGGCCTACCACTTTTTATCTCCAAATTTTTCTGACATCTGACAGTTTGTAAAACATCAATTAGCACAGCAGGAAGTGTTCACCTGTGGATGTTCTTCAGGTTATTATATTGGCAGACTCGCTGTCAGACTGTTGGACTACAGCCTCACGGTCAAGTTACAAATATGATACAGTATTTTCTATCAACACCACATCACTGACTTCTTATCTATTATCCATATTGACTACAAAACTGACAGACCTCCAGCCTCTCCCTAGACCTACGATGTTGTTATATATTATATAATTTATTTTATATATATTGTTAAAAATGTTGCTTGCAATAAAAAAAGTTAAATAACTGAAAATCCTTTAAGAAAGGTATTTGCACAATAAGAAAACATGCAATGCAATGTAAACATAGAAGGAACAAATGTGCATTATCCAAAAATGTAACTTAAGCTAAAAGAACAAGCTGCTGATTACTGCATTTTATTTGTATATTTTGAACGGCCACCTGCCAGCTGAAATTTGTGTTTCCTTTTTATATAAATAAAGACATTTACACCATAAAGTGGTGCAGAATATTTCTCCAGAAGTCAGAAAATTAAGTGTTTAAGGCTCAAAAATGTCTGGGGAAGGACCACCAGACTCCCCACTCATATCTCAGCATTGAATAATATTAAATAGGGTTAAATGATTAAAAGGTGTATCGTCACACCCCTAATCCGAGATACTTTTAGCTACTTGCTTATTAAGTCGGCCCTTTATTTTCTGACACGCTGGAGACAAATTCTGTCTAAATGAGGTGAAGGATGTTTAAAATCTTGCATCGAATATAAAAAAAAGTTAAGGAGGTTTGTTGATTTAGAATTAATGTCGAGTATTTTTGCACTTTCTGTGAACTACAAGAAGAAAAAGTCTCGTTTGTTTTGTCTGGACTGTCGAATATTTTGGTTGGATGTTGAAAACTGGGCAAACAAACTTCAGGAAAAATACGTTCTCACATGTTTTGAAGGTTTATGAGAAGATTTTTGTGTTGAATTGAATCCAATCAGAGGAAATAATAAAGTGATAAAAGCAGTTTCTCCTCAGAACGATGATTCAGCAGCTTTCAGCCAAACAGAACAAGAAATGTTTTCTCAACACGAAACTTTTCTGATGCGCTGCGAAAGAAATCTGTTTTTTCAGTGACGAAAAGGAAAGAAGAAGGAAGGAGAGATATTTATCCACCTCGCTTTGGTGCTTCATAATGTAAATATAAAAAGTAAAGAGTTCCTTAATGTATAAAATCTCTTGAGGATATTTAATAACAGATTCAACTGTGGATTCTGTGGAACATTAAGTCGATGAGGATTAATAATGTGATTATATTTATTCAGAGATGGAAATACTTCATATTAGCGGCTGGAACGTTAAAACATGTTTCTGTTTACGCAGAATGTTCTGGGTGGATTCGTGTTTGTTATATTTTAATAAACATTTAATTATCTGTTCTGTGTGTGTGAAGGAACTGATAAACTGTCAGTATGTACAAACCTGAGGTACAAACAGAACTCTAATATTCAACCGAGCAGAGAATGTTTAGTGCAATTTGTTCTTACTCTGATAATCTAATGGATCCATCAGACAAGGCTCAAATGAAAAAACATTGATTAAGTGTTGATCTGCTTTTCTTAAATTGATTAGATTGGATATCTGGATGAATAATTATTACTTCGTTACAGTAAATGTTTGGAAAAGAATAAAAAGCTAAAAAGAGATGTAATGTAAATAAGTTATTATCGCATCATAACTCAGCTGTGAGACCAGCTGCAGCTGACTGAATGAAAACCACGTGAACAGAAGCTTTCTGCAGAATCTCCGTAAAATTTTTTTATGTTTCTTAAATCACACCCTCGCAGTTTACCTTTTTTTTGTAGATTTGCTGTGATCTAATATAATTTATACCATAAAGTGTTTTTATATGTATTTGAATTTTCTACATTTTAAAAATCCTCCAAAATAAAAATCGAGCCGCTGAAAAAAGAATATTAACAAAATAAAAC